ATATTCAGATTTTACAGGAGAAGGGAGAGTGAAGTTGAAATGAATAGGATACCTCCGTCCGCGCCTCCGGCAATCTCTCCTGGGGGTATGCAGCAACCAAGTAAATCCTTGACCGGGATCGAACCCCGGGACGTTTAGTCGCAGGGTGCGCTCTATGCAGGAGTGAACTGTGTTTGATTTTTATGTAGTTGTGTGAATGTGTGTGTATGTGTATGTGTAGCCATTCTCTCTCAACCTCATGCTGGTGCCCCTTTCTACACCAGAATGGATTCCTCGCCCTCCGCTCCTCCCTGTGCTGGCATTCAGCACGCAGGTCTGGGGCACTGGGATCCCATTAGAGAAACCATTGTCCCCCAGAAAGCCTGGGAAGCCAGTCTGACATTGTCCACTTCCCCACCAAGAGGGGGCACTGCCTCCCAACTTGGGGATTCCAGGGCAACAGGGTTGGTCCTGATACTGGGCATCTCTACCACAGGTGCTATGGAGAGGCAGTGCTCCTCAGTGGTTAGTGCGCGGAGGCTGGGTGTTAGCTTGAGTTTGAACCTGATGCCCATCATTCACAAGCTGTGTGACCTGCAGCAAGTTACTTAACCTCTCTGAGCCTCAGTTTCCTTATCTGTAAAACGAGGGGGGTGATAATGCCCCAAAAGGTGCTTGTATGGATCACGTGACTTCATAGATGCAAAGTGCTCAGGATGGTGCCTGGCGCCGGTGAGTGATGGGCACGTGTTGGATGTCAGGGGGCCCTGGGTTTCAAAACCCCACCCAGCACCTGCCAGCATGTGCCTCTGAGGGAGGGAATGGCCTCTCTGAGCCTCAGTTTCTCATCTATCCAAGGGGATAATGTTCATTCCCACCTTGCAGGGTTATCAGGAAGAACAAACAAGCTGAGACCTGCAGCCTGCTTGGCACAGTGCCTGATGTGGGTTCGCAATCACCGAGAATTAGCTGCTGGTTTTATTGTTTATCATTACCGGTCTCTGCAATAGTTCTTTAAAATAATTTTTTAAAACCCAAATAACATCTTTACAACTTAACTGGATTTCTTCCTGCCCTGCTTATACAAATCAAATTGTCCCTGGTTGTTGACACCATAAGGGTTTAATCCAAGCTACCACCTGTGAACACTCTACAGATTTCCTTTTTGGTATGTTGCAACCCCCTTGGACAACATACCAACAGAGTTGCAACACAGTTAATAGTTCTATCAGCTCGTAAGCTCTGAGATCCAGGAGAGTTTATATATATTTTGAAGCCACTTAGGGCCAGGAAACAGCAGGTTCAAGAAAGTTCTTCAGCCCGGCCAGTGTGGCTCACTGGTTGAGTGTCGACCCATGAACCAGGAGGTCACTGTTCGATTCCTGGTCAGGGCACATGCCTGGGTTGCAGCCTCAATCCTCATCATTCGTGTTTCTATATATCTCTCTCTCACCCTTCCTCTCTCTAAAAATCAATGAGAGAGAAACATCGATCGGCTGCCTCCTGCATGCCCCTTCCTGGAGGTCGAGCCTGAAACCCAGGCATGTGCCCTGACCAGGAATCAAACCGGTGACCTCTTGGTGCATAGGACCATGCTCAACCAACTGAGCCACATTGGCCGGGCAGTATCCAAATTTCTTAATCAATGCCAAACGCAGTTGGGTCCCAACCACAGTTTTCACAAGTGCTCTGCTGTAGTCAAACTAGTCCCCACGTGGGCCAAACTTCCCGCCTTTGCCCTCTCATCTTGGTAGAGCCCTG